AAACAAACCCTTTGTCTTTGTGGAACGCATGGGATACGGACCTGGGGGCCCTCCTGGGCAGGTTTTCGGCGGCTTGGCGGAGCGTCTTGGAGACATTCAGCGCTGTCTGGAGGCTGTCTTGGGCGTCTCGTGTCGCTATTTTGGCAAGGAGGAGCTCCCTGGATTGATTTGGGCAGGTCTCGGGGGCTGGTTGACGGCTTCGTGGGAGGTCTGGGGGGCCCTCTTGGCCTGTTGTTGGGCCGTGTTGGAAGGTTTCTGGGCAGTCTCAGAGCGAACTCGAGGGCGTCTGGGGCTGTTTCGCATTGCAGCGGAGATGGACACGCGCACTCGTGAAAATGCATGAAACACCTTCTTAACAAATGTACGTAATTCGGCCCTTGGGGCCTCTTGGCCAAGTTTTCGGCGGCTTCTTGCGGCGTCTTGGAGGCATACTGGCTTGCCTGGAGGCTGTCTTGGGCGTATTGGGTCGCTATTGTTTCTGAGCGGGGGCGTCTCTGCTTGTCTCTGGGACGGCTCCTGTAGGACCAGGGCAGCCATCGCGGGGCAGCTGGACCCCCCCCCTCTGTAGCCCGGTGTGTGGGTGTGTGGGTGTGTGCATATATACCTATATCTGTGTCTATATATATATATACATATATATATTCAAACATATACAATTTTGGGCTCAAGCTTTACTGGGTCAAGTTGGCCCACCCATTTTTGGGACCCATAGAGGGCCCCATCCGCCCTGTCATTGACAGGCTTCTGACGTCGCGTGCGCGATGGTTCGGCGGCGGAAGCCCGCATCGCGTGGCGGAAGGATGCCCAACGCTGTGAGCGCATGTTATGAGAAAGCATCATCGTCATTATCTGACCGCTGCAGCCTCCTCCTCCTCCTCCTCCTCCTCCTCCTCCTCCTCCTCGAGCCTCGCTGCAAAGTCTCGAGCCTTCTTCTGTTAGTGCTCCTTGCTGGCAGAACCAGCTCCTCCTCTGGCCGCACCTCATCCAATGCACCGCCATCCACAGGCCAGCGCCAGCTGGTGAGCTGGGGCCCCGAGGCGAGGTGCCGCCCTGCTGGCCGTCCAGGGCCCCAGCTCCGCCGCACGTGGCAGGCTCCGGCTCCCCGGGGCAGACGGAGGCCGCGGTGGCGCCCCTTTTCGGCGCACGCGCTGCCAGTGTGCGGACGATCGGGGCGACTCAGGCCGCGCGGCCGCGGAGAACCTGGCGAGCCATCAATTCGAATGTGGAGCAGAACCCGGCAGCGGGCGGCCGCGCCTGGGTCCTGAGGCCTTCCGTCCTGCCCCCCCCTCCTCTCCTGCTCTGCCTCCTGCCCGTGCTTCCTCCTCCTCCGCTCGCGGTGGCCGAGAGGCGCCCGAAGATTACCCAGGATTAGAGGCATGCCGCCAAGGTGGCCCAAGGCCGCCTCCCTTCGGGCCCCAAAGGTCTCTCGGAAACGCACGGCACGCACGGTAGGTTCGCGCGGCGTCGGCGCGCGCAAATGTCTGTGACACCGCGTCGATCGTTCAACCTTGAACCGATCGCGGCCCCGCTCGTTCAAGGTTGAATTCAGTCGGGTCCAATGGCGTTACCGTGCTCCGCGGTGCTTCCGCGTCGCAGAGTTCAACCTCGAACCCTTCGGTGACGAACCAACAACACACACCCATACCCATAGGGGGATCGGAGAGGGCGATGGGTGCGTGTTGTCGGATGGGGGTCCCCGCTCGAACGGGAGCGTTCCCCCGGGTCCGACAACCCGCACCAATACCCATAGCCAGTCCTCCTCCCAACGACCCCCCTATGGGTATGGGTGCGTGTTGTCCGTTCGTCATTCGGCGGCGTCGCCGGCACGCCGACGCCACACGAACGTGCCGTAGGTCCCAAGAAGGTGACAAAGTGGAGTTGGCGGATCAGGCGCTGGAGGCTGGCCTTGCCGGGTGCCTCTGGACCAAGGGCTACATGGGCGCTTCGGCGGTGGAGCCGAAGCTAGCTGCGCGCTGGCAGTCCTCGGAACCCAACCCCCGCAACTCCTCCCCCCCCCTTGCGACCCCTCGCCGATGCCCCGACGAGGAGAACAGCCTTCTCCTCCTCCTCCTCCCCCTCCCGAGGATGGCATCCCCTCTCCCCGTCCTCGCCCCCCTCCTGAGAGCGGGCTTGACCTGGGACCCTCACTTCTGAGAGGGGCTGGGGGAAAAGAGCCCAAAACGACATGAGGCTGGCCTGTGAGACGATCCTGGGCCATGGGGATTTGGCGGCGCCCGGAGGGGGAGTGGGGGAGGGGGGAAGGCCTCTTCGAAGGAGGCAGCTTCCCAGAAGGCGCCAGCTTCACATCTGCAGACAAGGACCGCGCCTTCGAAGCAGCGGGAGTGCTTGGAAGAAACCTTCCCCCCTCCCCCTGCCCCCCCTCTGCGCGTGGCCCAAGTATTGCCCTCCAGGGGGTGGCCTCCTCCTCCTCCCCCTCCCCCCTCCCCCTCCACAATTACTCAAAATGAATACTACTCTCCCTCTTCCCCTGATGGCGTGCTGGGAGTGTTGCCCCCCCCCGCGTCCTGCTTTTTTACACACAGGATTCCCGGGAGTTGGGTTTTCGCCTGCATGTTTTTCCAAAATGCTGCTCTCGCTGAGGCGCCGGCCTCATTTTCGGGCCTCCGCTCGTTCCGAATCGTGCTCCCGCTGCAGCGCTGGCATCATTTCCGCGCTTCCGCTCGTTTCGACTCGTGCTCCCGCTGCAGCGCTGGCGTCATTTCCCGTGCCATGCCACGGCATGCAATGCAACGCTAGGTTGATACTACGCTTCGCGGTGCTCTTCTACGCCATGCCATGCCGTGCTCTACAATGCATCGCGTACCCTTTCGGGATCATCGCCCTGCTTGACATCCGACTGTGCAAGTAGAGAGGGGATCTGCGCAATGGTAAAGGATGGGAGGGAGGGGTAGGATGTCAGATATGACGCGAGCGCACCTAGCTTGCCCCTCCCCCCCCCCTCCCCCCCTCCCCCCTCCCCCCTCCCCCCCCCCCCCTCCCCCTTCCCCCCTCCTCCCCCTCCCCCCTCCCGAGGCCAGCGGGGGCAGCAGGGCGCCCGAGCGCGCGCGCCATCCAAGCGACCCCGCGCGCGGGCGCCCGAGGCCCTCGCGGCAGGGGCCAGGCCCGCACGTGGCCCAGGGCGCGGCCCGCGACTCCGCAGCGGAGCGGGCGGGGACGGGAGGAGGAGGAGGAGGAGGAGGAGGAGGAGGAGCAGAAGGAGGAGCAGGAGGAGGAGCAGGAGGAGGGAGCCGAGAGATCTCGGAGAGGGGGCGGTCCAGACAGCGGCAACTCTCCCTGGCGTGTTAGGGCTTCTCGTCGCCATGGCCAGGTCCGCCAGGCGGGGTCCGGGGACCGACTTTGAGCGGCTGTGAGCCAGGTGGGAGAGCCGCAGTTGCCTCAACTGGGCCACCTCCGAGGAGTGGCACTTCAAAGATGAGGCCCCGAGACATGACAGCGGCGCGACCAGAGGGGAGGCGCGAGGAGGGGGGTGGATTCTAAGAAGGCGGGGGGGCACCTCTTGGGAGGCAGGGGCCTCGTCGAAGGCCCGGGAGGCTTCCAGGAACGCTTCCATGTGTTCGATGCGTGAGCCCTGGAGGTCTGGACCACTACCCCAGGGCCGGCGTGTCGTCCTGCGTCGTCTCTTGGTCCCGAAGCCCGGTGAGGGCCCCCGGAGGCTGAAACGGCCGAAGACCGTCCGCTCCAAGTAGGTTGGGAGCGTCGGATCCCTGGGCCCACAACCCCGAGGCCCCATCGCTCGGGGCCCCCTCGCAGTCCTCGGCGACCTGGAATCTGGGCGCCCTTCGGCGGTGGACAAACCTCCCTTTAGAAAACCACCCTTTGGTGGAACCGTCCTGGGACCGAAACCGACGGTCCTGGGCCCGCAGCAACGACGGCCGCGACGCCCTCTCGCGAACCGAACACGGCCAATTCGCTAATCGACGTGTCAGGGTAGGAAATCTATCAACCTCCGAGCCCTCGTCGTGCCCCGGGTACATCGGAAACGGCGCCCTGGAAAGGACAACAAGCCGCCCCGGGGAAAGGGGTCGGGACGCCTGAGGTCCCCGCACCAAAGAACCGACCAGCCGACATCGGAAAGAGCGGGGAGGCGGAGGAGCGCAGGGAGAGCAGCAGGAGGGGGCGGCGGGAGGCGAATCAAAATGCTGGTCACTCTGGGGGAGGTCGCCGAACTGGCTACCTACCAGACCACCCCAATCCAACCCGAAGACTCGAATTTGACCCGAATTTCGGGTTGGGGGGGGGGTACGGGTTCCATGTGTTTTTTCGACGTTCCCCGCCCCCCCCCACTGGAAATGGAGGGCAAATTGAGGCCTTCGGGTTGGGTTGGGGTGGTCTGGTAGGTGGTGACGAACTCCACGTCTGGCCCCCTCCTCCACGTCGGGGGGAAACGCCCGCGACGGCCCAGGCCTCGCGCAGGTCTGGAGCAGCACGGCGGGCGCGCGCGGGCAGGCTGGCATTGCCCGCGGGCGGCGCGCCCGCAGGGGCGAGGGCGGGGCGAGGCGGGGCTCCCGGGAAGAGATCGTCTCGGGTCGGGCGAAAGTTGAAGCCTGTTTTTTTTGGATCCAGGCAAGTTTACTTGCATGGCGTTCGCCCCCCCCTCCCCCCCCCCTCGCCCCTCTTCAAGCGAATACTAGCGTGCAAGTGCCTCCTTTCGACTTGCGTGTTTTCCGCGCCCCCCCCCCCCGGGCTTGCTTCAGGCTCAGCCCACCCCCCCCGTCCATGCAAGTAAATTTGCCAGAGTCTGAAAAAAACAAGCTCAGGGGGGGATAGCAAAGGGGGGGTTTGAGAATCAGCTCACGTAGCTAATTTTCCCGGCGCCTCCCGGCGTCAGAGGCGACTATGTATCGAGGAATGGGCCCCTCGGTGAGGCCGAAACCAGCTGAATGCAGCAAATTTCGTACCCCCCCTTTCCCAATCCCCCCCTTTCGTCCGGCCCGATAGTCCTGGGGAGGCAAGAGGGCCTCCAAGACGCGGGGGGTCGCTCAATGCTCGCCCTCCTGTCCCTCAAGCTGCTCGTTCCGTGCGCCGCGCTGCCTCATCGTGCGCAGCGGCTTGGTGGGCCTTGGGAACGGGACCCGCACGCCGCCCTTCAAAAGGACCGGCTTGTAGAACGCAGGCACGTCATCCCTCATGAACGGACTGTTTCGATAGCGGTGGATGTTCTCCTTCAGGCCCTGGTACATGCTCCTCTGCACGCAGCACGCCTTCTGGGAGGATGCCGATGGCCAGTCGTCAAAGCCCTCCCAGGCAAGCATGAACTTCTCCGCCCGCTCTGGAGAGGTCAGATTCACGAACCCGTACCCCACGCCCTCTGCCTCGGCGCGCTTGATGGGTACGTAGACGAAGTCGAACCTCAGGGCGGACCAAGGGGAGGGGATAGCAAAGGGGGAGGTCAACTAATCAGCTCACGTCGGGGATCTTCTGACCAGGGTCAATCCAGACCCGGGTCAGTCTGGCCTTGCAGAATCCTGCAAGATCCTGCACCTAAGCCTGGGTCAGTGCGAAGGATCCTGCAACCTCCTGCAGGATCCTGCACCCAGACCCGGGTCAATGCAACCCTGGCCCTGCAAGATCCTGCAAGATCCAGCGTTCTGGCTGACCCCCGTTTGCATTGACCCCCGTCTCTTTCGGGGATGGACAGACCCCCCTTTGGTAAAACGTGGTTTAGTGAGAACGACCTGAGGCCCAAACCTGGTGGGCGCAAGCCTGGAAAATAACAGCCACGGCGCCCTCTCGAGAACCGAAAACGGACAATTCACTAATCGACGTGTCACTGTTGGGGGTTCTGTCCACCCCCGACTCTCAAGCCCCGATCACGTGTGACTGGTTTCTCCCGCACCCCCAGGCGCCTGAGCGCCAGAGGCGCCACTGTCTCCGGGACAGCGCCCAGCGGCGGGGTCGAAACCGGCTGCACGCAGCAGGCTTCGCACCCCCACCCCTCTCCCAACAAACGCCCGCCCCCACTTCCGTTCGACCCGAGGAACCACCCCGAGAACCCCTTGGACTCCAGAAGAGCGATCATCTAGGCCTTCTGGATGGGGTCGGAGTAGATGGGGTCGGAGCATCGCGCCGGCGTCGCCGATGCGTCGCCGATGCGTCGCCGGTGCGTCGCCGGTGCATCGCCGAAGCATCGGCGATGCACCAGCGATGCGGCGCGATCCTTCGACCCCGCCCACTGGGACCCCTCCTAGGAGGCCTAGAGATCAGGGAGTCGCACGTGTAGGAGAAGGGGAGGTTGCGCATCATCACCGTGGTCCACTGCGTGGCCTTGGGGCCCGCGCCGCCCAGCCGCGGGCGCGGGCCCCCGGCCCTGGCGAGGCTCCTGTGAACGAAGGCCTCGGCACAGCTGCTGAGGGGCGAGTACGCCGCGGCCCCGCCGTGGAGGGGCCGGGCGACGTCAGCTGAACGCCCCACCGATCCTAGAGGCCTCCTGGGTGGGGTCCGAGCAGACGGGGTCGGAGGATCTGGCCGCATTGCCGATATACATCGGCGATGCATCCGCGACGTCGACGTGAAGCAAAGCGGGCTCCGCATCGAACCGCATCGTCGATGCATCGGCGATGCGGCGCGATCCTCCGACCCCATCTGCTCGGACCCCATCCGGGAGGCCCAGACCCACCGATCATGGCCAGGCCCGTCACTGGCCGCCTGGGCCCAGGATTGGTGCACATAGTAGGGAACCGAACTCTATACACCAACGCTTTTTCCGGCCCTGCGCCGAAACTCACATAGGAAAGCGGATCCTGGTGTATGTGGGGGCCTGGTGTATACATGTGTCGTTGCCTCCATGGGGAAACGGTGAAAAAATATACACCACACCACCCCGACGACGTCCACGATTCTCAAAAATCCTGGGATTGAAAACCAGCCCGCCACTGGCAATGTGTAGGTTCCAATCTCGGATGTAGGGTTAAGTCGGGCCTGTCCCCCTACAGGGGGATTTTCGACGAAAAATAGCACATACCCCAAACATAGTATGGGGACTATTTTTTGAATTTTGTTTGACCATTTTGGGGTATGTTTGGGGTATTTAAAATTGTTCGTCGCAAATCCCCCTGAAAAGGGGAAAGGCCCGACCTAAATGTAGGGCCCGTCCCGCTTGGCCAACCAAGCGCGCCCACCGATCCTGGGCCCGAGCGACTGCCCGAGAGCTGGCGCCCTATATTCGAGGAAACAGAGCTGTGCACATACACCGATTCTGGCCAGGACCATCCTGAGCCCAGGAGCGGTGCATACGCCCTCTTACAGTCATCGGCCTGACCTAAGGAACGATAAATAAGGAACGGAGCCCCTGTTTTCCAAGGAACAAAGCATAAGGACCGATAACAAAAAAACCCATAAGGAAGGATACGTAACGCATGCAAGCCTTAAGGAACGACCGAGCCCCTTTTGAAAAGTAAGTGTTCCTTACTCAAACCGCTCACTGTACCTTGGCCAGGAAGGTATATGCACCGATCCTGGGTCAAGGATGGGCGTTGTCAGGATCGGTGCATGTGCATAGTTCTCTTCGCCAGCCCTATCACGAGGAGCAGGCCTCCGGGCGCGGCCTCGGCGCGTGCGGCATCCACAGAAGACGCGCGCGCCCGGCCACGCACAAAGAGCACGGCCCCCCAGTCCGCGAGACCAACGCTCTCGCCACGCGTACCTTCGCAACCAACGCGGATTCATGCACAGTCCACCGGTACAGTAAGGGTTCGTGATACGGATGCAAGGGCCTCGGACGCCTGTTCTGAAGATGTTCGAGCGGGGCGCGGCCAACGAAAGGGGCAAAGGATGGACCGACGAGGCAAGGATGCAATGGGTACCCTTGGCGAGCTTGCCCATCCTTACTACGCGGGTTGACTGTACGTGTGCGTCCTTCTTTCGCTCCTGCACGTGCCAGGGCCGCCCGCGGCGCCCTGCGGATCGGCCCGGCCAGGGTCGGCGAGGTGGTCGGCCGACGTCGCCCGAGAGGGGCGTGCGCCCGGCCAGGGCGGCCGCGCCCCCGAGGCACTCGAGGCCGTCGGCCACCTCGAGGCGGAGTCCCGGGGGCGGGCCGAGCCCCGGGGGCAGGCAGAGGTGGCCCACGCGCCGAGGCTCCGCGGCGAGGTCCTGGCTCCGGGTAGGCAGTGCAGCGCAAACGGGTCACGAGGGTACGCGGCAGGGGTTCCGGGCCGCCGGGCGCCCGGAGCCTCCAGCCTGGCAGGTTTCGGGCGCACGTGAGCGGTCTGGGGCACGTGTTATTCCAACATCATTCTTCCTCTTCGGGGAGAAGTGTACCATCTCCACTACAAAACATACACCCCCTCCTACCAGACCGGGGGCCAACCAGAAACCACGACATCCTCCCACCATCCCTGTCAACAAATACTACAACGTGCACATTGCGACAACATCTGTACCATGCGCAGGCACCCAACGCTCACGCTGCAAAATTTTGCCTGCTGCGCGCAGGCCGTCATCCCTGTCAGACTCTCAGACACACCATTGCATAGACATTCTGGCAACGATCATGCGCGGGCGCCCCGCGACCGCTTTGCAGCAGGGCCCTAGCTAATGTACTAATGTATGCTGCTTCGGGCGATCCCCACCGGAACCTTCGGCGTTTGTTCCGGAATCTGGTACTGTTTGCTACGGCGGCCAGCCTGAGCTCGGCGCGCATGTCGCATTTCACGAGACACCGTTACTCGGTCGCTGGTGGACTCTAGTCTATCATGCTCTGTGCGTTTCTTATGTTCTCGTCATGTATAGTTCACTCCTGTGGCCAATCTTACGTCGGCTCGCATGTTGCGTTCGATTGGGCGCCGTTCGTCGGTTCTGTGCGCATATGTTCGCTTGCCTGTTCTGTTATGTCGGTCACGTTGTGCTCTGTTCTGTCCACATAGGTTTATTTATGTTCTGCTCTCGACGGGGCTGCGTGACGTCGTGGCGCCTGTCGCTTTTGTTATGTTGTCTAGTCGGTCGTTGCCGCACCTGCTTTCTTCCCGTGTGGCCAGGTGTGGATGCTGAGATTGACGCTGCGCACTCGATGTGCCACTGCTCTATCTTGCAGTGCTCAAATATGTTCTGTTCGATAAGGTTGTATCCTGACATGCTGCAGCATGATATATAATATTCGACGGGACGGCGTGACGCTGTGACGCCTGTGACGTTCGATACGTCGTCCGATCGGTCGTTGCTCCGCCTGTTTGTACATGTGGCCAGACTGACGTCGTCGCGCACGTCGCGCTTGACTCGGGTATGGTACGGCCTATCATGTTGGGAAGTTTCTCTTCAAGCTTGTGTTTCTTCTGTTAACGTATGTTATGTTATGTTGTGTCCAACTATGTGATTGTATGATTTGTTATGTTCGGAGTTGTTGTGATAGGTGGCACCACGTTATGACAGGATACATGTGCTGTCAGACTATGGTTTGTGCTGCTCTCATGTGTGATGATGTCTGGGGTATACCCAGTTTGTTCGAATGTATTTTGGCATGCTCCATAATGCCGTACACATTCCACGAAGTCATTTTCAATCATTTTACAGCTAGATCGTTGGCGTAGGGGTAGCAGTAGCACGGCACATCTGCTATTTGTTGCTGATTGCGGTGTGCATTGTCCGTTACATTGTGATGATTTGAGAATGTTCTATGTGCTGATACATATTATGTGTTATGTTCTCGATGGGCTGGCGAGACGCCATGACGCCTGTCACGATATACATATATATGTATATATATATGTATATACATCGTCCGATCGTTCGCTGCTGCGCGTGATTGCTCCTGTGGCCAGCCTGACCTCGGCGCGCACGTCTCCTTGGATTATCCGCCACCGTGCCGCTGGGCACGGAGTGGGCGTGTCCTCAGGTCCTGGGCTTAAGTCGGGCCTGTCCTCCTACAGGGGGATTTTCGACGAAAAATAAAAAAAAATACCCCCACAATAGTCCAAACATAGTCTGGGGACCATTTGTTTGGTATTGTTTGTCCTTTTTGTTGTATTTTTGGTTTCAAAGATCCGGAGCCCTTCGGGCCAACTCTCCTGGGGCGCCGCGCGGTCCCCCAGGGGCCGTGCCAGGTGTCCCCGCGTGACTTCTTCGGCCCCAAGCGGCCCAACGACGGGCCAAAAGGGGCCCAAGAAACCTCCAAGACGATCCAAGGAGGGCCCCGAATCGCCGAACAATCGCTCCAAGACGCCCCGAATGGGCCCAAGAGGCCTCCAAGAGGCCTCCAAAACGCCCCAAGAAAGCGGGCCCCAAGAGGCCAAAACCATTGATGTGCCTTAGGTGTTTGAAATATATAAGCATTATCGCCGTTTCGGCTTCCCGCTGCTCCCATACGGCCCTAGAAGGCACACGCCCACCCGAAGACGGCCCCAAAAGCCTCCAAGAAG